CTTGCTCGTAATTATTTCCTATTTTTGCCGATCTTTGCGAAGATGCAATGACTGTACGAGAAAGTGCCACGTCGATCTTTTCTTGTTCTTCCCCCTTTTTTAGCGAGATAACGATGCGCATAATATGCACACACACATACACACACACACACACACACACACACACACATACATGCGCGCGCGCGCGTATATATATATACATATATATATATATATGTATATGTATATGTATATATATATGACGATTATTAGCTAGTTTGTATGCATGAGGTGTGAAGGTAGTATGTTGAAAATATTGTTACGGTCCTATTGGGACGCAGTATGTGATCACGGGGCAGATAGGTATGTGAAGCTACCATCGCTTTTAAGTGAATCGATGTTGAAATGATCGCAGCCGCGGGTTCGTGTGTTCCTTATTATTAAAGCATCACGCTATTTTATTCCAATCAATCGCTCGTATCTCAGAGTAAAACGTTTTAACGTTGGATTCACTATAAGCGATATAATATATAAGAATACACCTTTTTGTACAAACGCTCGATTTTTTGTATAATAAAAGTTGTAGTCCTTTTTAACACGTCTTCTTCTTTTATACCAATCTAATATAAATACATGAGAGAGAAAAAAATAGAGAAATAATCTGAAATTTTGCAGAATTGAATTTTTTGAATTTTTAAATATTTTTATAATATCTCTTATAAGAAATCAATTCTTTGTAATAAAAAAGATATTTTTAATGCATCTTCGTTGATCTCCGTCTTTCAATGTTTTCTGGTAATGTCTAAAGAAAGTTGAATACAATCTAAGAGATGGCGCTTAAAGTGTTTTTTTAGAGCTCTAGAGTTGCATGAGTAGCAAAAGTCTGCTATTTTTTTTTATCTAATGATTATATGTTAACGTATTAATAAATTTACTTATTTTTATTGGATTATTCACTAAGCTTATTTATTATTTATTGCTTCTTGAACGACAGATTATCAAATTAAGAAGCGGTCAATAGCAACGTTGTCGGCATCCAGTTCAGATTAAAGGATTATTGTGCTATTCTAATACATCTGGAGCTCTAAAGTTTTTTGTTTCTGTACTGCATAAGAAAACTTGTAGATTATCATATACGTTTTTTTTACGTCTACTAATTTTTTACAATTATTAAGTATTTAAAATGTAATTATATATATATTAAAAAATAATGATGACATGTTGAGAATAGAAAGAGAAATCTAGAGGAATATGATGTACAAATTTGAATCATATTTGTGTGACTTACAAAATTATATCTTGGATCAAGGATGATCCAGCTGTGACAGACAAAGACATTCTTAGTGACATGCTTAAAGAAGCATAAAAAACAAATAAAAAAAGACTGAAGTAATGACTTTCTTTTTACACTTTTATTTTTTGGCTACATTCGTTTTATTCATTTTCATGCTAAATTATATTTATTTTAAAATGAATGTAAAACAGAACACGATACAAGAAATAAACTTTATAAAACAAAAGAAATCTTTTTACTTTCAACATAACAGAAGAAATAAGAAGATTGCAGTCTTTTTTTTTTGCTTAATTCTGTAACAGAGTAGCTCATTAAATATATTTAATCTCCATTAATAATTATAGTACGCTAGATAAAAGGTTGATTACTACTGTCTTATATAATAATAAAAGAAGTCCCGTTTTGATTTATTCCAATTCACCTTCTGTTAAAAATCATTTATTTTTAAAACAAATTCTTATTTTCCTGTATAAAAATTTCAAACATTTGGTCGACGCAATCAAATAAAAATGTAATATGTTAGTATTTCATAAATGTTTGTTTGCATCCATTGAGCGAATAGTAAAAAGAAGTAACAAATAACATTCAAATAACGGAAAAAAAAATTTTATTTTTCCCACAACGGCCTGAAGTAACGCACGGAACGCACGTATACCGCCGGCAACGGCGCGCCTGCGCAGTGATGACGTCCGCGGGCAGCGGCACGCCGGCCGCTGATTGGCCAGCGCGCGCGCGCTGGCTCGAAATTCAAGTCGAGTCGCGGCAGTTAGTGTAGCGACCGTGGAGCGAGCGCGCTTGAAGGCGCGACGCCGTGTAGCCGCGTAGAATTAACGTAGGTACCTTTTTTTCATCCGTACGAACGTGCGCACGGGCACGCGCGCGCGCGCGCGTCCGCGACTCTTCCTTCATGATTATAATTATTACGCGTTCGTTATTATATTCAGAGTGCGTTCGTACGCGACTGTGTTCGCGATTATTTACACACGCTTTAGAGAGCTTCCCCTCGATCTGTTTTTACATTTTCCCCGTTCCCCCGTTTTACCGTGAACGCGCTTCTCAATCTTACCGGTAAAATTTTCGCCGACGTAGGAAACGAAGAGGAAACGAAGAGGAAGAAAAAGTGCCGATTGCCGACGATGACATGTCGCGACGCGCGGTCGAGTCAGTGAGTGTGCAACGGTGTTGATCACGGTGCTGGCGATCATCGACGGGCGTTTAGTATGACGACTAGCTGACGGATGTATCTCTTCTCTATCTCCTCACGGCGTCGGCGGGGTTGACGATTGAGCGGACAGCGGAAGGTAAGCGAGAATACGATATCTCCCGAGGGGAGGATTCGATGGATGTTAAACTGCGATGGTACTCCATTTTGTGATACTTGTCGTCGTGAATTTTCACGCGCATTTTAGCAACCGCGCGCTTCTCTGTACAAAGATTTCTATCGATACAGATTCAGAGAAAAAGACTCATCCTAGACAACAATGTCTAGAAGACGTTTTTATGATGTCTTAGATTTCTTTAAAACCTTGTGTCTCCATGATGCTAAAAATCGGTTAAAGATCTCTCAGATGGAAAAAGAATCGACCAAACGCATTGATCATGTGATCGCGAATTGTTCAAATGTGATTTATTAATTTTTTTTTATCTGAGATTTTTAGCATTGAGAACACAAGACTTTAAACGTATCTTAGACAATATAATCGAAAATCAGGATGTAAGACGTCTTTAAGATGTCTCAGATATTTTTATTAAAATATTTTTATTTTAGACATCTTCAAGATGTTTTAAGCGACGTCTACAGTGAGATTTTAAGGTAAAATTTTAGCTTTAAACCTCTTAAGCCATAAAAAATCAATGACAATCGAATGCAAGGAGAATAATTGATTATAATTGGTCAATTTCTTACGGCTTTAAACTTAAGTTTTACATCTTAAAATCTCATTGTAAGTATTCGTTTTATGTCTTATTTTTGGGCATGTGTGTTGTCTGGAGTATGTTCTAAAAAAACGTTCCTGCTTTAATGCTTTTATGCTTTTTTAAATAGACATGTTGTCCAGAATACAGCACAGATTTTCAAGGGACGTCTAAACGACGTTCTACGTCTTGAGGGCGTTCTCAAAACGTCCTTAGGAAAAAAAGTGCTGAGTGGAAAATGGAAGAGTAAGTCGAATTTAAGGAGAGAGTGACAGAAGCGTAAACGAAACTTCTAGGAACTTCTAAATTGGAAAAGCGACACGTAAAATAAGCGTTTTAAAAGGTAAATACTTCTATTACACTTCGCTGTTCCAATTTACATCTCCTAGAAGTTTCCTTTATATTTTTTCTGTCATTTTTCCTTCATACTCACGTTCCGATCTTTTTTTTTCGCCAGGAGAGATACGAATTTCAAGAGTCCAGTAGCTCTTGTAAAATAGGATAACTTTCAAATTTTGATAATGCCTGGACAACTTGCCAAAAAATCGGAACATATAATATCTTAATAGACGTTTTAAGTTTGTCTTGATTTTGGACAAGCGTGCTGTCTAAGCATTTTGTTTTAATTTAGGTTAAAATTACTTAATTAGATATATCTTTTTATTTTAACTTTGTTCCATAGAACAAAGTTATCCAATTTTACGGTACGCAGTGTGAAAGATTCCAAGCTTTAACTGCAGACGATTTTCCAGTTCGTTTCGTTACTCTCGCGATTGATCTCACGCACACACACACATACACACACACATATACACGATGGAAGTTCCTTCTTGAAATTAAGTCCAGTTCTTGAAATTAAGTCCGTATCGCGAGCGAATAATATCTTACTATTTCTCGTTTTCTTCTTTCTTACATAGCTCAATAAATCATTAAATCTTTGAGTTCAGAACATATAACAAAAGCAATATTGATCAGAGCATCACATAATTTCTCGTTTCTTTGATTCTGAATTGTACTGAAAAATAGTAAGGATAAAATGAGAAATATTCAAATTTTTAATTTAAGACAGAAATCTTTTTACATTCTCTAAACAGACATTTCAATTAATCTTCGATTATTAATTATTTGAAAATTAAAGAATACTGATGTCATATATATTAATATATAATAAATTTTTCAATAAAAGTAATAAGATATGTTATTAATTTTATTGATAAGCAAATTAACAAAAAAGATCAATTTATTTTATTGACACATGAGATTCCTTTCTCTATCTGTGCTCCAATTTTTATTCATACTTATAAACATATTAATGCTGTATAGAAATAATTTATTGGATTCTTAATTTTCTTTTTTATTCTCGATTGCGAAAGTTATACTGCTTTTCTCCGAAGTAAATTATTCTGAGAATATTCATATTTAAGATGGAGATTGTAATTGTGTATAATTAGAATGTAAAAATTATTCTGTGCAAGTTTTCTACAAAAATTGCGACAAAGATTTGATATTATTATTTCTATGTAGCATCACACAATTATTCATTTAATTGAAGCGAAGTGTTTGTAATTTATTTCTTTAATATATATTTTTTATACTTTTTATTCATTGAGCATCGTATTTATTGCTCGCGATAAACTCCAATTTTTTTCCTGGGAAAGTTGCATCCTTTTGCTTTTTTTCCAGTTATTCTTATCTCTTGGAAAGTCCAGTAATTATAGAGATAAGTATTAGTTCGAAAGCGAAATTCTTACGATCGAGTTGCTTGGAAATTGACTGCTTTGTTGACTTCGACCCGTGTAACTTCCGCGAGAGTTATGAGAGTCGATTTTGAGAACTTAAAAACTTTCTGTCGGAGCTGAACAAAAATTTTTGTCGAAACATACTTAAATGAAATTTTACGACTTAAAAGTTAGGTTGCTTTAGGAGACCGCGAAACGCTATCGGGACCTGGTGATTTTTTTATATATAATAATCTTCAACCATATATAACCAGCTATATATAACCATCACGAACATCTTATTTCGAACTATTTTAATATTTCAATTTATTTTGGTTACTTTTATTATCTTTACGAATATTATTTAGACGTCATGATTGCACATAATCTGTTTCGAATTAATTAATCTTTTAACGAAGAGAGAATTATCTTTTATTTAAAAAAATCAAAATATATCTTGGTAATTAAATTTTAATTAGAAAGAAATTAGATGTTTGATATATTATTGTATACCATGCAATTTTTAAATCAATTGAAAACATTAAAAGAATATTTCTTTGATGTTTATTTTAAAAACTACGTTCATAAATTTCGTATTTAAGGGTAAATGTATAAATATGATTATATTTAAATGTATAAATATGAAACGAGGAAGAAATACTTCTAAAAAATATTATATGTAATTAGAAGGATATATATTGCGTAATACATAGTTTGAACAGTTTCATGTTTTCCTGCGGAATTTAATTAGGGAATCGCTAATTACTACGATTGAAATTGCTGGCTTCTCGATATTTTCCGGCGTAAATGAATTGGTTGTTGAAAGTGCAGTTCCTCGCGTTTTTGCTTTTCCGCTGTATATTCAAATAACACAGAAACCTTTTAATGCTCTTTAAGAAATAATTATGCTTACGGATCATATCCAGCAAACGTTAAATGTTCTTGAAATATTTATAAAATGTTTTTAAAATCTCCAAAAAAACATTCCAAGAATACTCCAAAATGTTCCGAATATTTATAGTATATAAAAGAATAGTACAGTATATAAACATTTAAATGTCGGTTAAAAATTTTATTTGTATATCGTTACATGCCTAGAATGTTTATATATATATATATATATAAAATAAAATTTTGTTTAAAAACTGATTCACGGACAGACCTGAAATTTTTAGAAAAATTTTTTTTAAGTCAATCTCCAATAAAGTCTTTAAATATTTTTAATTTTCCTTAATTAAAGCTATGGGATATGTATATATATTCCATAGCTTTAATTAAATATATATATATATATGTATACAGGATGTCTCGAAATTTTTTGCGCTCTTGTGTAAATAGAGCGGACTAAATTGAGTCGAAAAGTCCTCTACCATTTTGTAATTTTCGCAATAGTTAACAAGATTAATTATTAAAAATTGCTGAATATTGATTTTTAATATTTTTTTATTCAAATACTATCAACTTAACAGAAAAACAGCGAGAGACAATTTTTAGTAATTAATATCTTATTAACTATTACAGTTGTATACCGGTATATAAAACCCTGTATATAAACATTTACTTTATGTATATACTATTTCTAGGCCAAATTTTGAATGAAATCTTGTTTTGAACTATTGTGCGATAAATATTTCGTAAATATCAATATATAATATTGATTTGTTCAAAGATTTACTTGATTTACTCATCACGATATAAACGCGAGCAATCCAGATAACCATGTCCAAAATTGGGATGTAAGACGTACGTGTAAAAGACATCATTAAGATATCTTTTAGATATCATAAAATGTCTTAACCCTAGTTATACACATTGGGGTCCCAGAAACCCTAATACAACTTGCTAAATCGAGATTTTTTTCGTGTTTCTGAATTTTTCTTTTTCTTTGAATCTGTATATTTCAAATCTCCTTAATTCTATCGACTTTTCCACATTGTGGACTTCCTTAATCAATTCTCTATCGATTAAAACAAAATTGATTGAAATATGTCCATTTTTACGGAAGTTACAACAAATATGGATGGATCTCCCAGAGATCAGAGTGTATATCAAGGATAGAACAAAAGAGTCAAACTAGAGTTAAAGATGTCTTTAAGATATCTTATATCTCCTTCTGGGCTCGTGTGTTGTTTGACAATGTATTTTATTACAAAACCGGACAGTCCGTTTACCATAAGGCGAATTATAATCGATCAATCTTGCTTAATTGGCAATTCGCTGCGTTCAAAATTGTTCTTTCCATTATAATTCTCACGACTGGCATTACTGCTCATTGTTCTTAACGACCTTTCGCTGCTTCTTGTTACTTTCGCTTTGCCGCGCCATTTCTTATTCTCTAAGCAGAGATCCTGTTCGTTTATAGACGAGTTATTAACTGGAAACTATAAGAGTTTCTTCTTAGTATAGAATCTTCTCCACAAAACAATAAGGGACAGTTTGTAGAGGCAATTTTCATAAAATCTGCGTTAATGTAATATGACGAGATGTATGAAGATGCAAGTTAGTTTTTAATTAAGATTGCTTAATTAAGTATTTCATAAGAATCTCTCTCGCTGATTTTATAGAATATACAAGATTAATTGTCAATCTCGTTTAAATTGTAAATTTTTCTTGGAATTTTTTTTTAAATTTTAAATAAATTAAAATTACTTAATTTATTATATTAAAGA